GACCTTGAAGAAGAAATTTACATGGAGCAATTAGAAGGTTTTGTAGAGAAACGGAAAGAAAAATTTGTATGAAAATTGAAAAAAAGTTTGTATGGCCTCAAGAAAGCCTCGCGACAATGATACAAAAAATTTGACTCGTTCATGATGAATAATGGTTTTCTAAAACCACTTCAGACCATTGTGTGTTTGTGACAAATTTTTCGGATGATAAATTTATTATTCTTTTGCTTTATGTTGATGACATGTTAATTGTGGGTCAAAATTACACTATGATTAACAGGTTGAAAAACAAATACTTGGCATGAAAATTGTTTATGATCACAAAAATGGGTTGATTTGGTTGTCTTAAGAAAACTACATTGAAAAATTTCTTGAGAGATTCAACATAGATAAAGCAAAGTTGGTTGGTTGTCCCTTTGCGAGTCACTTCAAGCTTAGTTCGAATCAATGTCCTACAAGTGAGAAAGACAAGGAAGAGATGTAGAAAATTCTTTATGCTTCAATGGTTGGTGCTTTGATGTACGCCATAGTTTGTACAAGACCAAATATTGCTCATGTCGTTGGTGTGATGAGTCATTTTCTCTCTAATCCGGGTAAAGAACATTGGGCAGTGGTAAAATGGATTCTAAGGTATCTTCGAGGGACTTCGAAAGTGTGTTTGTGTTTTGGGGATGATAAGCCGATGCTTGATGGGTTCACAGATTCTGACAAGGCCGGTGATGTTGATTCTAGAAAATCTACTTCGAGGTATTTGATGACATTTACAAGGGGAGTTGTGGCATGACAATCTAAATTACAAAAATATGTTGCTCTCTCAACTACCGAAGGTAAATTTATCACCATTACAGAAGCTTGCAAAAAAAGAGTTATGGTTGAATTTTTTTTTACAAGAGTTGGGTTTGAAGAAAGAAAGGTATGTGCTTTATTGTGATAGTCAAAGTGCTATTCATTTGAATAAAAGTTTCACTTTTCATTCAAAATTGAAACACATTGATGTGAGATACCATTGGATTCGTGATGTGTTAAATTCGAAATTATTACAACTCGAAAAGGTTCACACAAATGATAATATTTCAAATATGTTGATTAAGACTTTGTCGAGGGACAAACATTTAAAGTGTCGAACTTTGGCGGGTATGGTTGATGACTCCACCTAAGTCAGTACGGGGAGAATTGCTGGGTATACCTCCTTATTAGAGTATGGGACCCAATTAGTTTACTAAAATATTTAGTTTGGTTTGGTGTTGGTTATAATATATTTTTAATATATTATACCTAATTTTTAGAGGCCCACCGGTATTTTATATTCAGTTTGGTAGTAGCTAGGGTTTGATAAAAAATTCCAAGAGTCTACAATATATTTGGTATTGTTTTGTATTTTCCGGAGAGTGTGTAGCGGCTGTGGAAAATTGATACATTATTCGGTGGAATCAAATTTGGGTGTGTGATAGTGTTGTTGTTTGGTTTTTGGTTTAGTCAAATCCAGTGCTTTGTGCTTTTGTTTCGGCTCGACTTTGAAGCTGATTCGGTTCGTTGATTTGGGTTTTCTTTAACTCTGTTTCGAAGATTTTTGTTTGCCTATTTGGTGAGGTCTTTCTAAGGGTGGTTTTGTGAGACTATTAGTGTCTCATTTGTAATTGTTTGGAAACTCTTTGGTTGATAGTGAAATCGGATTTCGATTCTGTACGTACCTCACATTGAGAGAACCACGTAAAATTCTTGTTCGTTGTTGATTTAATTTTTTTTCATTAGTTTTTATTTCCATTGATTGATTTACTTGTGAAGAATCATATTTTTTCCCTAACAGGAACAGGTGTGGTTGATTGTAGTGTTGAAACAATTGTCTGGGTTCGACGACAAAATGGCTCGTGGTGGCCTGGTAAGATTCTCGGTCCTGAGGAGCTCTCAGTTGCTCCTCTCATGTCTCTACGATCAGGGACTCCAATCAAGCTTCTTGGAAGGGAAGATGCCAGCGTGTAATTCTGTTTGTTCCGTCTCTCTCTCCCTCTCTGTGTGCGTGGGTGTGTATACATGATATATGCACGTTACACTTGAATCTTGTGATTACATTTTTTTAGCCATGTTCATTTGCTCATTGCTGTAAATTGACTGTGGTTTGTGAATTTTTGGGTATTTGTTTAAGCTTTGCATGATCAACTGTTGTGATTAATGGGCTCATCAATATTTATTAAATGGTTGTTAATGACATCGATGGATGGTACATATCGTGTTGATATTTTATGTTTGTTACAGCAGGAAGGGTGCTTTTTTTTTCCTTTTTTTTGTGGATAAATAGCAGGAAGAGTGCCTTATCAGTATGAATCTGCAAATTGTCTTGAGTAGAGTTGTTATATAATTAGGCCATGGATATTTTATGCCCATATGATAATTGTTTGGAGGGTGTGCCATTCTTTCTCATTGTGATGGTTTGATGTGTGGGTGGGGGTTGAAGTTGTGCTTCAAATCTTCTTTTCATTTCATAACGATTAAAATAAACAATGCTCTCTTGAATTATTAGATTGAAGATGTGCGTGATAGCTTAATGGTAGGCAAAGATTGGTCACTAGCTTTGTAGAAAATAGTTTGGGATAAAGACATCTTAGTTATTAGGCCCTTATTGGTGCAACTGGAAGGGGCTAAGACAAGTCCAAAAGCTAATTGGCTGAACTCAATGATAAATATTTACTGTATTGGCTTCCGCCAGGCCCTGTACTCTGTTTTACTGTATTACTGTTAAGCAGGCCTTCGGTAATCTCGGATTACTGGCCGGTTACGGTACTAAACCCATAGGGCCGGGTTTGGGTCGTGACAGTGGTGGTTGAAGTTGTGCTTCAAATCTTCTTTGCATTTCATAACGATTAAAATAAACAATGCTCTCTTGAATTATTAGATTGAAGATGTGGCGTGATAGCTTATTCGTAGGCAAAGATTGGTCACTAGCTTTGTAAAAAATAGTTTGGGATAAAGACATCTTAGTTATTAGGCCCTTATTGGTGCAACTGGAACGGGCTAAGACAAGTCCAAAAGCTAATTGGCTGAACTCAATGATAAATATACTTTGTGCACCCCCCTGCTGCATGTTTTGTCCTCCAGGCTTGCCATTTTCTCAATTACCCAGTCTGTTGCATCTTTCTCCATCCCATTTAAAGCACAAAAGTAGGTTTCCCCCTACCGTCACACTACAAAATTTGATTGGTCATTGGCAATTCTACGGTTAGGATTTTGTTTTTTGGGGGACTTACTAACAGTCTGGGACACTGATTAGTTGAATGTTTTCTTTCCACATATCAAGAAGGAAATTCTTCATATTATTTATCAATTAAATATACTGATATTTATGATTTGTTTTTTATTACTAGACAATATTTGCCAAAGTGTTGATGAAGAATGTTGAGTTCCCAAGAATTCCTAGAAATGGACCTTTTATTAGGTCTTTGTTCTCTTTGTTTCAATATAAAATGTACTGAATAACTTGACAAACACATCTAATTAAGTAATTTTTTTAATAGAATTTATAAGTTATTAATGTTTTCCTACACATATATATACATACATATATCTATATGTGTGCGCGTTGGTAAAATTAATTAGTTCAAATTTGGTTAGGTTACAATAGCTTCTAGTCCTCTTGACATGGCAGCTCGACATAAAGTATGATCCTTGTCATCGATACAAGATGCCTCTCTTACTCAGGTACCCACTAAGAGCTAATCATATATATCACATTACTTCCAGCTTTATTTTAGAATTGCATGCAAAACTTGTCTTACAATTAACCAAAGAATGAATATTCTGAACCTAAATATCATTGTTTAAATATAGACAAAATGTGCTACATAGTAAAAATCATGACATGACGAAGCTTGTGCTTTTTTTATTTTTTTTTATTTTCTTGTGAATCTTCAACAAGACATCTCCCAATTATTTATTACCGTATGGGTTCTTTCTAATTCCCTCAAAATATTGCTTAAAAGTAATTAGTTGATTGTCATTTTTCACGATTACATTTGATTTATATTGTTGAGTTTAGGGGATCCTGACATTGATAATAGGCATAGTTTTGATTGTTGTTGATTGGTGCCTTTGGTTGTGATTGATTTTTTAAGCTATTGTTTGATATGATCTAAAGACTTACAGTTGTTACGTTTATATAATTTGTTGTAGTGTGGTGAACTAATTAAGTGATTAAATCATGTGGCTTGCTCATCTACTAGACAAATGCATGTCACTTTCAGTTGTGATCATCTTCACTCTGACACTTTGTACTAGTTTATTTTTTAAATATTATTTATTAATCGTAAATATATAATTATTTAAGTATTTAAATCTTGATTTACAGGTGGGAGATATAATTGTTCTAAAAAGTATCATTAGGCCAACAGAAACAGTTGCAATTGGAGTAGTTAAAAGCACAAACCCATCTAAAGAAGTAGCAGGGGAAGAACTAGGACTTGACTATTGTGAGCTATATGCTCAAATGCTAGTCAAACCTATTGAGAACTTGATCCGATCATATGAACTTGTCAAAATAATTGGACAAGGTATTGGAGCTCATGTTGCTTGGTCTACTTCATTTGTGGTATATTTCTTTCGTATATACTAATTTCATTAACAAATTTATATTAACTTAAATATAGTTTCAATTACCTTTATATGTGTATCTTTTGGATGCAGATTTCGCAAGTTATGAATGCTAGCCGAGAACATTTATACAAGTGAGGTTGAGAATTTGGGAATTGAATTTGTTTTGATAATTTGTCTCTCCAAAACATCGATATCATTATGGCTTTTCAAAACTTATGACTGGAATATTTTTCTTAAATTTTTTTTGCTTCAACTTTGTTACTGTGGTAGAATGTTTTATAAATTCGATTATGATTTTTATTGCAATATAAATAAATTTATATTTTTAGATTAAAAAAATGATTGTGGTTTGAATTTTTTTTTGTTTTTGATGTGATGATCTTTTTATTTTTTTTTATTTTCTTGTGAATCTTCAATAAGACATCTCCCAATCATTTATTACCGTATGGGCTCTTTCTAATTCCCTCAAAATATTGCTAAAAAGTAATTAGTTGATTGTCATTTTTCACGATTACATTTGATTTATATTGTTGAGTTTAGGGGATCCTGATATTGATAATGGGCATAGTTTTGATTGTTGTTGATTGGTGCCTTTGGTTGTGATTGATTTTTTAAGCTATTGTTTGATATGGTCTAAAGACTTACGGTTGTTACGTTTATATAATTTGTTGCAGTGTGGTGAACCAATTAAGTGATTAAATCATGTGGCTTGCTTATCTACTAGACAAATGCATGTCACTTTTAGTTGTGATCATCTTCACTCTGACACTTTGTACTAGTTTATTTTTTAAATATTATTTATTAATTGTAAATATATAATTATTTAAGTATTTAAATCTTGATTTACAGGTGGGAGATATAATTGTTCTAAAAAGTATCATTAGGCCAACAGAAACAGTTGCAATTGGAGTAATTAAAAGCACAAACCCATCTAAAGAAGTAGCAGGGGAAGAACTAGGACTTGACTATTGTGAGCTATATGCTCAAATGCCAATCAAACCTAATGAGAACTTGATCCGATCATATGGACTTGTCAAAATAATTGGACAAGGTATTGGAGCTCATGTTGCTTGGTCTACTCCATTTGTGGTATATTTCTTTCGTAAATATTAATTTCATTAACAAATTTATATTAACTTAATATAGTTTCAATTACCTTTATATGTGTATCTTTTGGATGCAGATTTCGCAAGTTATGGATGCTAGCTGAGAACATTTATACAAGTGAGGTTGAGAATTTGGGAATTGAATTTGTTTTGATAATTTGTCTCTCCAGAAGATCGATATCATTATGGCTTTTCAGAACTTATGACTGAAATATTTTTCTTAAATTTTTTTGCTTCAACTTTGTTACTGTGGTAGAATATTTTATAAATTTGATTATGATCTTTATTGCAATATAAATAAATTTATATTTTTAAATAAAAAAATGATTGTGGTTTGATTTTTTTTTTTTTTTTATATGATGATCCTATGGTGGTAATATTTGTTTCTTATTATGAAAATATTACAGGATAAATGGATGTCAAATTAATATAGGATGTGGCAATTAATATTCAATTGTTTATAAAATCGATTCAATTTTTATAGGCATTTACGTATGCTTAATTGTGGCATTTAAAAGTGTCAATGAAAAGAACATATAAATGGCATTTTGTAGTAGTGATAGTATCTTTGCAAAGTGTCACTAGAATAAGCTCCAATGGCACTTATATCCATTTAACGGCACAAATGAATTGGATTTAGTGGTATTTATGAAGTTGTTAAAAATATCAACTGTGACATAACAAGCTCCTTTAAAAATCCATATGGTCGCATTTTTTAGATTGTAAGTCTTCTTTAATGGCACTTGATAGCGTCACGAATAGTATCTACCATGACACGAAAATGTCACTGAAAGTCTTTAGCCCTGATAGTGTAATAGCACTTACAAGTGCCCCTGAAGTACCGTTAAGTCTTTTTTTGATGGCGCTTGATCGTGTCACAAATAGTATTTATTTTGACATCAAAGTATTAGTGAAAGTTTTTAGCCGTGATGGTACAGTGGCACTTGCAAATGTCACTAAGGTGCCATTAGTATCTATCGTGGCACGAGTATAAATGACACTTGTCTAAAATGCCACAAGAATAAAAAATGTCATTAGAAAAATAGGTTTCTGACACTTTCAAACGTTACTAAACTAAAAAAATGTTGTAGTGATGGTTGTACAATTTAAGTTGTCAAAATTATAAAATTATCTTTTATGTGTCAAATTAGATTTCAATGGTTATTGATGTGCACAATATCTCAAATTGGACCACATAAACATAAATAAAAAAAATTTAAAGACTAAACAGATGAAATTGATAGTTTAGAAATGAAATGAAAAAAATGGTAATGGTTTTTTTTTTTAAAATGAGAAATCATACTATCCTCTTTCTAAATTTAGAGAAAATATTGAACTCACAAATTTATTAGTACTTATGCGGGTTGCCCAACTCAATGCTCCAATTTTTACTTGGTTGTTAAAGGGCTGCCCAGCCTAGCCCAATGCTTCAGTTTCAATAATGTTTGGGTTTTATTTTATTGGTTACAATTGAATCAGTTTCAATGTTTTTCAATTAATTCCATGCACTACAATTTAAATATGATTTGTTTATGTGTCAAAAAAACCACTTGAATAATTTTAATTTTTTAAATTTTTCTTCAAGCTAACAAGAATAAAGAATATTTTGCATAGCTTCACTTTTACTTGCTTCATAGTTCCAACAATTAGAAGTGGGATTAGTTTAAGATATTCATAAATACATGGGCTCCAATTTTTTTGTAGTACCAAGGCTATGTTTGGGAAGTTTCAAAAAAGTCAAAAAGTCAAAAAGTCAAAAAGTTATTCAAAAAGTTAAAAAGTTATCACTATTCATCAAAAGTCAACAATTACGGCTGCACAACTCCCAATTCTAATTTTCCCCTACAAACCAATTTTTACAATTTTTTATTACACATTTTTTTATAAAAAGTCAAAAAGTTAACCCAAACATTCATATTTTCAACCTCAACTTTTTAGTCTAAAAAGACAAAAAATACACTTATTTAGGACACTTCAAACAACCCCCAAGTATAAGGTTCTGTAAGCTTAATCATATTTAATAATTATTTGAATTGTTTAAATCATGCCTGACTTGTTCGCCTTACAAAACACGCTTCAATGTCTTCCTTTTGTAACTCCCTCCTAGTGATGGAGTCTTGGGTTGATTCATAATCTTAATGGAGTATTGCTCAAAGAATACTTGGCAAATTTTCACGTTCTAGTTACTCATACACACCATTTTGTTTTCCTTTTCAACAAACGGGTGTGTATGTGAGAGTGTGACATAGATAATTTTAAAAGGTAATATACCCTTTTGATACTATTTTCAAAATTTTTGAATCTCAAAATAATAAATAAAATGACATAAAAATGGAAAAATTAAGGATAAATATCTATACAAGTTTTCTATTAACTTATAGCCCAACAAGTTTTTTTGCTAGTTGAGGTTCTGAAGATGTCAAATTTTAGAAGAATAAGAAAAAAATTTAACATAAATAATAAAAAATAACCTTAGAACACTAAAAAGCCTTGGAACACTTTTATTTTTTACTCTCTCTCACTCTCATACGTCGCCCCCATCTATCGGCACTGCCACGGCTGCCATCTATTAGTGTAGCCACACCATCGTTTTGCCGGTCCGACCTGGATTGCCATTCAACGTTCCATTGCCTTCACCACCTATGCCTCCAACATTCTTTTCTCTGTCTCTATTCTCTCTCATTCCTCTTTCTATCTCTCTTTGTTCTCTATATTTTTTCTTTTTTTTTGTTCTCTTTTTGTTTATAGTGTAATTTCACTATTGCACAATGAAATTTCATTGTCATTATGACAACAAGAAATTTACTGAGTTGTGAATTACATAAATAAACTTTAGGAAATTTAATTGAATTGAGTGTGTAATTCAAAACACAAAAAAAATCATTGAAACAACTCAATGAAATTCACAAACACATATTCACTGAAAAATAGGAAATTTTCATTTAGTTTAAAATGCACTCTTTGATATAGTATATGTCAGAGAAATTTTTCATTGAAATAATAAAGGGGGTGTAGATAGATAAAACATTGGCCCAAACCCAAGCTCAGCCAAGCAAGTTGGCCCAAGGGAAAAGCCCAAATAACCAAAAGGTCCTTCAGATAAGGAAACAATGTCACGTGACCAAAGTATGAGTAAAATATTTTTCTAGAAAGAGATCTACAGAATGCAGGAAAGCTCGTAAATTCATCCTTAATCAATGATGAAGATAACAATTGTCGGAGATAAGGATGTAGGCGTAGCCTACCCACACAACAAAATCGTCTAATTATCTTAATCGGACGGACGAAGCATTTGGCAAGTTGGCCACTAACATCTGACATAATTTAAGTCGCTCACAACAATACGATCCAATGGTAAAGGACAAAGACAACCTGGCCACTTGCCCAACCAAAGTCTAGGAGCAAGCAGAGCCTCAAATTAGATGTTAGTCCAACGGTTGAGACTCAAGACAATAACACTATAAAGGAGGAGTAAAAAAAGAAAGAAAGCAAACCAGAGGTAACTAAGACTCCTTCTTAAAAAAAAACATACATTATATGGCCGATAAATATTCTAACTTGACCGTTGTAGGGTCCTTCCAACCATTACAGGCTAGGGGTGATCACTGATGAATTGGTTTCTCTTCGTAGAGTAAAAGAATGCGCACTTCATCTCACTTTCTCTGTAAAGAAAATTTCTACCTTCCACGGAGGGAATACCAAAAAAGTGAAGGATACAAAAAATAATTTCAAAATGATGATAGTATAGATCTTTATTGCATAAATTTATGCATGAACCATTTGTGCTTCTATCATTTTAAAATTATTTTATTTACACTCCACTTTTTTGAAAATTTCCCTAATAATAAAGATATTTCATTGAGTTCTAATTGAAATATTTAGTTGTGTATTTGTTGTTTTGAATTTTTTATTTTCATTTAAGTACGTTGTTTATTATGAGATAGTACGAATTAAGAAATTTTATTTTGCTGAAAAAGTTGTCTAACATCTCATTTGGGATGGGTGTTTGAGTTAAAATAGTTATATAGAATAAAATAGGTTATTTTAATCAAATAAGATAAAATATCATATCGAACTTATAATCATTTCATTTTTTCTCTTACAAAAGTCAAAAAAGTCGCAAAAGTCTTTCCCAAACAAAATTTTTTAACCTCAGACAAAAATAATTAAAAAATTAATAATTCAAAAAATCAACTCAAATTCCAAACAAGCCCTAAGAGTTGCAAGGAAATCTGCCAAAGATTTGACGAGAAGAATTTTTTGAGGTTGGTGGGGGTCACTCAAAAATTGTCAGCAGAAGGTGGCAATCTGAAGTTACGGCGGCTGGCTAATGTAGTGAAGGTATTGAAATTTTACTAACGTTTTGTTGTTTTGGAAAATTTAGAGAGGAATTTAAAAAAAAAAATGTATGAAATTAAGTGAAGCGTAAGTATATTTTATTCACAATTTATCTTTTTTTTTTTTTTAATCTTTCTATATTCCTAAACCAAACACAACGTAAAGATAGCTTTGTTGGAAAAAAAAAAGAAAAAGAAAAGGCTTTAGTGTTCTTAAGCAAGCAAATTTTTTTCTAGTTGTTCTTAAACTAATAAAACCTATTGACTAAGGATCTTTAAAAAAAAAAAAAACACTAAAAATATACTTGGTAATAATGTTTTCAAAATCATATTTGACGTGGACTTCATGAAAAAAAAAACCTTATTTTTAGAGAAAATTTAAATATGTTTTATGAGTTTTTGAACAATCAAATTCATAAATAAATTAAAAAAATGAAAATGATTTTAATTTTTTTACCTTCCATTACTTTTATTTTGAAAATAGAATATTTAAAATTCAAAATAAAAATGATACAACATGAAAGTGAATATTTTTATGGCTGAGGGCTGAGATTATCAAAGTTTAAAATAATTATATATTTTCTATGGCACAAATTTTTGTAAAAAAATTTGTAACCATTTCAAACTAATTAATAAGTGGCTTTAAAAAAACTCATTAACAGTGTGGATGCTGATGTTGCTCTTGATCCCCTAATTTCATCCTCCCCATACCTTAATACCTTAAGGCGTGCCATCAATTCATTAAGAATATGAATAAACATCTAAATTTAATTGTTTTATATGTAAATTATTTTTACTAGGGCGTTCGGTTGAAAAATCCTATTTTAAATTTTGTGTGTCTAAAGGTTTAGGCGATAATTTAACATGTCCATAAGGACATACTTAAGTGAAATGACTAAAATACCCATTACAT